CATAATTTGAGCCAACGTTATTTACATTTATTCCTATATCAAATTAGAAACTCAGAAATTTTCAATTTCACTGTGGCTTACTCTGACTTCAAAAGGAATGGGGGGGGGGGGAGTTTCAGGATGTCAGAGAGATCCTTTGAGCCTCCCAGCGGCCTCTATTGCATGACCCCTCCCTGGCACCGGAGCCTCCCCTTGGCTCCCTCCTCCCTCACTCACCATCCTGTAGTGGCGCTTGCTGCAGCCCTCCCTGTTGCTTTATTTATTTATTTTGCACCAACAGGGTTGCTGCAGACTCATTCTCGCCTGGTTTAAAAAGAGAGAGAGAGGAGAGAGAGAGAGAGAGAGAGAGAGAGAGAGAGAAGGAGAAATGCTTTCTGGCTCTTTTTTCTACCTCAGTCTTGGCAGCGGCGGCCGCAGGAGCAGCAGCGGCAGCAACAGCGGCAGCAGGCTGGCAGGCTGGCAGCGGGGAGTGGGGAGTGAGGCACACAGGGGAGGTGCGGGGGCCCGAGGTGCAGCTCGAATGGGACGGGGCCCCCAGCCCTGGACAGATGCAGTGCCAAACTTGATGCCACCCTCCAGCTTCTCCGGTAAGTGCCCCTACCCTCTGTCCCAAAGCTACAGCTGCCCTTTTCCATAACATTCTCAGACAGGCCAGGCCAGTGTGCCTGTCAAGGCAAGAGGGTTTGTGCCCCCACTGCCATCCCCACCCCACCAACCATTCATCTTGACCCCACAGGGGGACTTTGATGGGGAAACTAAAATACTCCAGGTGCCCCTGGGTGGAAGGACTCCAAGGAGACCTCGCTCTACCTGCCATTAGTAAGGATATTCCAGGAACCTTTTCCCTAGGATGCCCCTCTCCATGCCGGTCTTATCCTTCAATCAGGTGTGCTCTAAAGAGGATACCCATATTCCAATGTGTCTCTGGACTGCCACATAGAGACAAGAAGAAAGCTTCCCATCCTTGAGGGGGTGACGTCCCAGACCCCACTGAAGGAGAGAAAGAAGTGGTTCTGACACCCATCTCTTCCGGCAAAGTAGCCGGAAGCCAGTCCTGTAGCCCCGGAGGTTGGCAGGGGAAGTTTGTGATTAAATTCGCCACCTTATAAATAAGAGGTTGGTTCCTGATCCCCCAGCCCCTATCCCAGCAGGCTTTGGGGACTAAGGGGAAATTCACAGAGAAGGAGGGAAGAAGCTGGGTTACACGCTTCACTGCACTTTTGCTGAATGCAGAACAGAAAGGATGAGCAGGAACTGCAGCAGCAGTGATGAGGAGCTAGCTTTCAGATGGACTTCCCAGGGAGAACAGGCCCTGGGAAAATGAAGAAGGCTGGGACATCTCTCGCTGGAGAGTTTTTAGCATGCCACGGATACCTGTTAGGTCAGGAGAGGGGCAAGAGCACTGTGGTCTGCAGTCTTTGCCACATTCAGTCTTCCTCATCCCCAAGCCTCAGACCCACTTCCTACATCCCTCTGCTCTTTGGCCTCTTCTTCCTTTAGTTTCCCAACTACGACAGTCCTCTGAAGTGACTGTGGGAGAGCCACTAGAAAGACCCTTCTAGAGTGTGTCGAGTGGGAAGGAAAGGAGAAGAAATTACTCTCAAGCCGCCTCCAGGTGGGAAAAAGTAGGGCAAATAGTAGAAAGCTGACCCTGCAGGGCCCAGAAAGCCTGAGCCCCAAAGACTGAAGCCTGAAAGCCTGAGGGTGACCAGGATTGCAGCTCGGGAGAAACTCGAGCGTGCCACCTCCCAGGAAGCATCCGTTGGTCTTGCTCCTGTCTCTTTAGCCATTCCTTGCTAATTCCAGTGCTACCCCTCCCCTAGGGTCCCTGTGGCATCGAAAGGGTGGATTGAGGGGCTCTCACCATCTAGAGGACCCCCCCATCGCCTCAGTTAGCTTCCAGTGACCATCGTAGTCACCCTCTTCCTGAAATTTCCCAGACGCTGGTACCCAGAAACCTACTTGAAGTCGACAGGCTCTGCACACCGCCTGCGCAGTGCCAGCCAAGGGCTCCCTTCCTCCCCTCCCCACGGTGTCTGGTCGGATGCTGTCTCTCCTCACTTATCCATGCCTCCCTGGCTCACAATCTGTCTCTTGGGCATTGCTCAGGCAGCTCAGGCCAAAGGGGACAAGAACGCTCCCTCAGATTCATACACTGAGCCAGAATCCAAACACCATGAAGGAGGAATATAGGAAAAGTCTAAGACCGAGGACCACGCAACAGAACTCAAAACTTGGGTATCATTTGGGTCTCTCACACACCCCCACTTCGTCTGTAGGGGAGGAACGTTGCCCTTGGGCTCCTGTGGGGGATTCCCACCTTCCCGGTCAAGTGGCCCCTGCATCCTGTGCCACGGCTAATGTGCAGCTTGGCCGTCATCCACACAGGCATTCCGGAGAGATTGGATCTTGTTAGTCCAGGGCTCAGGCCCTGGGCCAGGCAGGAGGAGGGCAGACACTGGGGCCAGAACTGAGGTCTGCATGCTTCCCAGTCTTGGGTGACTCAGTCAAGGTGAAGACCTTTCTCCAGTCAGAACACGGAGCTCTGGGTCAAGGATGTGACCTCCCAGAGCCTTAATCAAAGTTATGGGTACATAATATGGGAGAATGAGCGTGGGCAGAGTGGGACAGGGCAAATATCAGGGAGAAGGGCCCTAAGCTTAAAGACAGCAAATATCAGGGAGAAGGGCCCTGAGGTATTCCTAGATCTCACAGACACAAGGAAAAACCCATTACAGAACGACTCTGGGTTACCTCCTTGCTGCACCCTGTTCCATTCCCCTAAGACTTCTCCCCCAGAAAGCAGGCTTGGCTAGGGTTTCATGAGCTAGTCAACAGTTGGCCAGTTATCCAGGGCTGGGAGGGGAAGGAAAGTAGAAATTCCCCAAAGAGGCTCCCAGGAAGTCCCAGGGAGGTAGAGCACCAGAACTGTTTCCAGTTCTGTGCCCTACTTGTGGCAATGCTGAGACAGATAGATTCATTTCTCTCCCCTTTAAGGAGGGCTCGTGAAGTCCAGGTCACCATCATCTGTAGCCACTTTCCCAAAAGGGCCATGTCATCATCTGTTCCAGGACTGAAGAGGGAATGGATGCGGCCACAGCTCCAAAGCAAGTCTGGCCCCCTTGGCCCCCCCTCCTTCTCCTGCTCCTCCTGCCTGGAGGGATCAGTGACAGCTGCCCTGCTGTGTGCGACTGCACCACCCAACCCCAGGCTGTGCTCTGTGGTCATAGGAGACTGGAGGCTGTCCCTGGGGGACTCCCACTGGACACTGAGCTCCTGGACCTGAGTGGGAACCGCTTGTGGGGGCTGCAGCGGGGAATGCTCTCCCGCCTGAGCCTGCTCCGGGAACTGGACCTCAGCTACAACCAGCTCTCCACCCTTGAACCCGGGGCCTTCCATGGCCTGCAAAGCCTACTCACCCTGAGGTTGCAGGGCAATCGACTCAGAATCATGGGACCTGGGGTCTTCTCAGGCCTGTCGGCCCTGACACTGCTGGACCTCCGCCTCAACCAGATTGTCCTCTTCCTAGATGGAGCTTTTGGGGAGCTAGGCAGCCTCCAGCAGCTAGAGGTTGGGGACAACCACCTGGTGTTTGTGGCTCCGGGGGCCTTTGCAGGGCTGGCCAAGCTGAGCACTCTCACCCTGGAGCGCTGTAACCTCAGCACAGTGCCTGGTCTTGCCCTCGCCCGTCTGCCAGCTCTAGTGGCTCTAAGGCTTCGAGAACTGGATATCGGGAGGCTGCCAGCCGGTGCCCTCCGGGGGCTGGGACAGCTAAAGGAGCTGGAGATTCACCACTGGCCATCTCTGGAGGCGCTGGACCCTGGGAGCCTGGCTGGGCTCAATCTCAGCAGCCTGGCCATCACTCGCTGCAATCTGAGCTCGGTGCCCTTCCAAGCGCTGCACCACCTGAGCTTCCTCAGAGTCCTGGATCTGTCTCAGAACCCCATCTCAGCCATCCCAGCCCGAAGGCTCAGCCCCCTGGTGCGGCTGCAGGAGCTCCGCCTGTCGGGGGCGTGCCTCACCTCCATCGCCGCCCACGCCTTCCACGGCTTGACTGCCTTCCACCTCCTGGATGTAGCAGATAACGCCCTTCAGACGCTGGAGGAAACGGCCTTTCCTTCTCCAGACAAACTGGTTACCCTGAGGCTGTCTGGCAACCCCCTAACCTGTGACTGCCGCCTCCTCTGGCTGCTCCGGCTCCGTCGCCGTCTGGACTTTGGCACGTCCCCCCCTGCCTGTGCTGGCCCCCAGCATGTCCAGGGGAAGAGCCTAAGGGAGTTTTCAGACATCCTACCTCCAGGGCACTTCACTTGCAAACCAGCCCTGATCCGGAAGTCTGGGCCTCGATGGGTCATTGCAGAGGAGGGGGGCCACGCTGTTTTCTCCTGCTCTGGTGATGGAGACCCAGCCCCCACTGTCTCCTGGATGAGGCCTCAGGGGGCTTGGCTGGGAAGGGCTGGGAGAGTAAGGGTCCTAGAGGATGGGACACTGGAGATCCGTTCAGTGCAGCTACGGGACCGAGGGGCCTATGTCTGTGTGGTCAGCAATGTGGCGGGGAATGACTCCCTGAGGACCTGGCTGGAGGTCATCCAAGTGGAACCACCAAATGGCACGCTCTCGGACCCCAACATGACCATGCCGGCGATCCCAGGCCCTTTCTTTCTGGACAGCAGAGGCGTGGCTATGGTGCTGGCAGTTGGTTTCCTCCCCTTCCTCACCTCAGTGACCCTCTGCTTTGGCCTGATTGCCCTCTGGAGCAAGGGCAAGGGCCGGGTCAAGCATCATGTGACCTTTGACTTTGTGGCACCTCGGCCCTCTGGGGATAAGAACTCTGTGAGTAACCGGGTCACTGCCAAGCTCTTCTGACCTTTCCTTCAACGCTGGGACCCAGCCAAGTCAGCTTCAGACACCTAAAGGGAAGACAGAACCAAGACTACTTGGACCGGAACCTAATCCCAAGTCACACAGCCTTGTGCCAGCAACTAGTGATGCTTCCTGCTAGACAGTCCGCTTCCTGAGCTTTTCCAGTCTGAGGATAGCACTGTCATCTCTTCTCTGAGGGCCCCAGGGAGCTGCAGATACAGACCCTGTAGTCAACCCTGCCCTCCCTTTGCCCCCTATTCCTCTGGCCTCCCCACCCCAAGCAGAAAATATAACCAAGACGCCAGTCTGCTAGCCTAACCACTAGGCATTCTTTACACTCACTCATATCCTTTTATAACCAATTGCAACTGCCAACCATAGCCGTAAGATTATTTCAGAGGTGGGGCTGGGAAATGCCACTTGCTTCTTGGAGTCTGTGCCCCCATCAGGCAGTCTGCCTTTCTTTTCTGCTTCCCACTCCAACCCCTGTCCCTAGGTGCATGAACCAGAGCCAAGGATCCTCAGGCTATGGAGAAGAGGATGGGGACAGAGTGTGGGATGGGGGAGGACAGACCACACCCTGCACTATGTCTGCGTGAGCCTCCACCACTGTTCCTGTCTGTCAGATCATTAAACCTGCAGCCAAATGGCCACAACAGTAGCAGCCAAAGCTACACACATGATCTCTGGAGTCTTTTTTATTTAAGTCTATTTCCTCCCCCTCATTTCTGTCCAATCTCCCCCTTCCTTCCCTTTCTGCCCGCCCATGGATCTTGTACCCCCGAGGGCCTCACCTCCATCTAACCCAGCCTGACAAGCAGAGTAAGGAGGCCCATCTTGTCGGGAGAGATCAGCACTCCGAGCCCAGGTTTCAGTCTCAATCCTTTCCCTTTTGCTTTCCGTCTCTGGAGCTAGAGAAGGAGAGATCCTCCAACTTCCAGGGGATTGCTACCTAGAAATTGCAACCTGGGGCGCCCAGCTCCTTCCCTTCTTTCTCACTTCCCCATGGGATCTGAATATCGTTTTTTTGTGTCCTGGAACCCTAGCGCCCCTGGGGGAAAGCCAGAAGGGAACTCCGAGAAAATGACTCAAAAACAAAAATATGCAGTTGTCAAAAGAGGGAGACCCCTCAGGACACAGCAGTGACTAGGCTTGGAGGAACCAGGGAGGAGGGCACCAGCAAGCTGTCGAAGGAAGCAGAGGGAAGGGGAACCGCAGTCACCGTCCACCTGGCTAATTTCCACCACCCTTCTTCAGCTTTTCCTGGTTCTGTGTTGAGCGCAGCCCCAGCCCCGGTAGGAAATTGTCTCTGGATGGAGAGGTGGGATGGGTAGTGAAACTGACTGCTGATGACCCCTGAGCGTGCTCCAAACAGAGGGCAAAGCCAAGCCCAAAAGGAAATACAGATGCTGGGAGCTCAAGGGACAGCAGCAGCCTCAGCATCACGGGAGGGAGGAGCGACAGGGAAGAGGAGATAGAGCAGGAGGAGGGACTGAATGAGAAGTGAAGAATCGCATGGCCCAGGGGAGCATTTTCCCTCTGCAGCAGCATCTGCCTGCGTCCTTAGTTTCCCTCCACCCTCCGGAGCCCCCACCAACCCTTACACCAAACCAGACAAGCATCATGAGCTTTCGGGCAGATTCCTGCTGCTGTCGTCGTCCTTGCTCTGAGGAGACTCCACTCATTAGAAGATTCGCGGCTCAAACTGTCCCTGATAGGTGAGAGGTGCCAGAGTCACCGAGGAGGTAAGGCTGGACTTCCCCGGCAGGAAGCTCCTCAGTGTGGCCAAGATGGGAATGTGGGATGGGGCGTGGGGGGGGGGATGTGAAAACCCAGCAGCTTGGAGAGTGAAGCTGGAGAAACTGACATTCTTGAGAAATGACCATCCCTGAGCCTCCAACCTCTCTGCCCCCCAAGGCACAAACAGCTCAGCATCCCAGCAGACTCCCCTTCTCCAGTTTAAATTTCCTGGGGCACACCCCTCCCCGCTCTTCTCTGTAACCTTCCACCAGCAACTTATTAGGTTGGGACTTAGGAGTGCTGAAGGTTCTCACTCTAGTTGCCCTCTCTGCAATGCGGAAGCAGCAATGCTATTCAGAGAAATCTCTGGGAAGCCCCTGACGCAGTCGGGAACAGATGACAGTCTGGTACTAGGAGCCGCTGCTGCCCAAAGTCTCCAGAGTCTCAAAGTCTTGGGAGCAGCGATGCCCGACAGAAAAAGACTTCAGGTCACATACGGAATTTCAGATTTTCTAGGAGCTACATTAAAAAGTCAAAATAAAGCAGATACAATTAATTTTAATACTAGATTTTATTTAACCCAATATACTCAAACCATTGTCATTTCAATAAGTTACCAATATAAAAATCAGTCATGAAATATTTAATGTTACCATTTTGGAATCCAGCTATATTTTACATTTAGGGCACATCTCGGCATCTCAATTCCGTCACTAAACTTTCACCAGAAATACCTGTATTTAGATTTCATAAAAGTCACTTGAAAAAGTAGATTAGCTGGGCTCGGTGGCTCAGCCTGTAATCCCACGCTTTGGGAGGCTGAGGTGAGTGGATTGCCTGAGCCTGTGGGTTTGAGACCCACCTGGGCAGGTGAGACCTCACCTCTACAATAAATCAAAAAATTAGCAGGACGTGGTAGCGCACGCCTCTAGTTCCAGCTACTGGGAAGGCTGAGGCGGAAGGATCACCAGAGCCCAGCAGGTCGAGGTTGCGGTGGCCAGGAGCGGCCACTGCACTCCAGTCCGGGTGACAGAGTGAGAATCCAACTCAAAAAAAAAGAAAAAGGAAAAAGTAGATTCACACATCCATGTTGTTCTAAACATAAAACATTTTCCTATAACTGAATCATATATTGGTTTTAATTTTAAATCAATTAAAATGAAATAAAATGCCATGCCTTAGTTGTATTATCTGCCTCCACGAGTGTTCAGTGGTCACATGTGACCAATGACTACACTGGACAGTGAACCTCCTTGGACATAGACTAGGGTCTCCTTGGCAGGAGTGCACAAAGTAAACCCCAAGAAACACTTTTTTTTTTTTAGTCAGAGTCTCAGTCTGTCACCCACACTCACGCCCACAGCAACCTTGAGCTGATGGACTCAGGTGATCCTTCCGCCTTAGCCTTCCAAGTAGCTGAAACTACAGGCACATGCCACCATGCCCAGCTAATTTTTTGATTTATCGTAAAGATGAGGTCTCACCAAGTTGACCAGGCTGATCTCGAACCCATGGGCTCAGGCAATCCTCTCACCTCAGTCTCCCAAACTGCTGGGACAGAGTCTCACCCTGTCACACAGGCTGGAGTGAGTGCAGTGACACTCACGGCTACCACAGCCTCTACCTGCTGGGCCCAGGCAATCCTTCCACCTCAGCCCCCCAAGCAGCTGGGATGACAGGAGCACATCACCCCACCTGGTTAATTTTTTGATTTATTGTAGAGATGAGGTCTCACCATGTAGCCCAGGCTGGTCTTGAACGCCTGGGCTCAGACAATCCTCTCATCTCAACCTCCCCAAGTGCGGGGATTACAGGTATGAGCCACCACATCCTGCTCAAGAAACACATTTGATTGCAGGGAAATAAATGCCTGTGGAGGAACTCCCCACTACCAGCCCTCGGTCTCCTTTGAGAGCTTTTCCAGCATACCTTCAAGGAGTGACGCTCAATAGTGTAGCAAGTTTCCTGTGATGAGCACTTCCACAGCCCATCAGGTCAGTAGCAAGCCAGTCCTTCATCTCGCCTGTCTGGGAAGGCTGCCCTCAGCTGAAGTGTGACGATAAAGGATGTTGAGTGTGTGTGCCGATGTGCGTGCAGATGCAACCAAGGACATGCGTGGAGGTGGTGTGCAGAAGTTCTGCAGACTATGTGCCTGTGTAGGGATGTTATGGTGCTACACCCTGGGGGCCATCCAGTGGAGACTCTGCTCAGGGTGGGGTGGTAAGAGAGAGAGAATAAGACAACATTCATGGAGAGCCCTTTCTATCTCGGTGCTCATATATATATATATATATATATATATATGCATATATATATATATATGTACATATATATATACATATATATATATATATATATAATTTTTTTTTTTAATAGGAATCTCACTATGTCACCCAGGCTGGAGTGCAGTGGCACAATCACAGTCATGGCAGCCTCAATCAGTTGGGCTCAGGAGATTCTTCCGCCTCAGCCTCCCAAATAGCTGGAACTAAGGTGAGTACCACCATGCCCAGATAATTTTTTAATTTATTGCAGAAATGAGGTCTCACCCAGTTGCCCAGGCTGGTCTTGAACCCCTGGACTCAGGCAATCCTCTCGCCTCTGCCTCCCAAAGCACTGGGATTACAGGTGTGAGCCATCGCACCTGGCGCCATGTTTTCTTATGTAATCCTCACGTCAGCCCTATAAGATAGATAAGCATCTTAGCTGATGGGACCAAAAGTCAAATTCATTAAGTGCTTGAGTGCACAGAGCTAGTTAGAGAGGGAAACGCATTTGAACTCAGGGTTGTCTGACTCAAAACTCACATGCGGCCAGGCTTGGTGGCTCAGCCTATAATCCCGGTGCTTTGTGAGGCCGAGGTAAGTGGATTGCCTGAGCCCACGGGTTCGAGACCCCCCCAGGCAACTTGGCAAGACCTCATCTCTACAATAAAACAAAAAAATCAGCCGGGCGTGGTAGCGCGTGCCTGTAATTCCAGCTACTCAGAAGGCTGAGGTGGAGGGATCGCCGGAGCCCAGCAGCTTGAGGCTGCGGTGGCCAGGAGCATGCCACTGCACTCCAGTCTAGACGACGGAGTGAAACTCCAACTCAAAAAAAAAAAAAAAACTCACATGCTTTCCACACCACCATACTCACCGTTGCACTCTCCTACTCCCAGGGCCTCTCAGTTATGAGATACGACCTGGGAGAAAAGAGAACTCTTTCCACCCCATCCAGGCTGAACTTTCAGGGGGGATTGGGATCAGTTGTTGATCCTCATCTTTTTTTTTTTTTTTTTTTTTTTTGAGTTGGAGTCTCACTGTTGCCCAACTTAACAGGCTGGAGTGCAGTGTCACATTCACGGCCGCTGCAGCCTCAACCTGCTGGGTTCAGGTGATCCTTCCACCTCAGCCTTCCAAGTAACTGGAACCACAGGCACAGGCACAGCCTCCCAAGTAGCTGAAACTACAGGTGCGTGCCACCACGCCCAGCTAATTTTTTGATTTATTGTAGAGACGAGGTCTCACCAAGTTACCCATGTTGGTCTCAAACCCCTGGACTCAGGCAATCCTGTCACCTCTGCCTCCCAAAGTGCTAGGATTATAGGCATCAACCACCATGCCTGGCATATCCTCATCTTCTTTGATAACTCTAATGCACCTGATTCAGAAAGTTGGGTTTTTTTTGCTTTTACTCTTTCTTCACAGTCCCCTCTCCCAATGTGCCTCACTGCCTCTGCCTCAGGGACCCATAGAAAGGAGAAATACCAGGCATCGGATAAACTGAAGTGAAATGCCTGGCATCCAACATAGGATTCTCTGAAATGGAGGCTTCAGATTTCCTAGTTCCTTTCTGGGTTCTTATTTTATTTATTTATGTATTTACTTGTTGTGTCAGAGTCTTACTTTGTTATCCAGGCTGGAGTGCAGTGGCATGATCAGGCCTCACAGCA